GACGGGGTTTCACCATGTTGACCAGGATGGTCTCGATCTCTTGACCTCGTGATCCACCCGCCTCGGCCTCCCAAAGTGCTGGGATTACAGGCTTGAGCCACCGCGCCCGGCCCCAGAGTTGAATAGTTACAACAGGGACCATATGGCCTGCAAAGCCTAAAATATTTGCTCTCTGGCTCTCGACATAAGTAGTTTGTTGGCTCCTGCTTTATGGCAAGATTGGAACTGCCCTTCTGTGGACTGTCTTGATCTTCTTGGCCATAGACTTTCTTATATACCATACCTTCCAAGCAAACCTCATTTGTCCTCATCCAGAGAACATTCCTGCTTTCCCTTTATTGTTATCCTCCTTGGTTTCATTTGACCTCTTGTCCCCCTCCTGTCCTTCTGCCCTCTCCAGCCTGTCATCAATGGTTACCGAAATAAGTCCACCTTCTCTGTGAACCGAGGTCCAGATGGCAATCCAAAGACTGTGGGGTACTACCTGGGTACTTGGAGAGGTCAGTTGAAGGTTGTACAAACCAAAGACTGAAGAGGAATGAAAGGGTGCAGAGAAGTGTCAGTAGAAGTGGAAAATACTGTGGCCTTAAAGAAGATTAAACTAGAAGCCTTTGATGCAGAACATGATCACAAGGTTGATTGTGGATACTTCTGATGGGTAGTCATTGTAACACAGTGATAGAAAACACAAACCTCGCCCTTTCTTCCTCAAAGCCATATGCCTGATACCTAGTAAACACTTAGTAAATGCTGGCATTGTTGCTGCTGTTGTTTCCTCGTGGTTGTTGTCATCATTTTATGCTACTTTCTGGGGTGGGAACAGTGTCCTTGTTAGCGTTGCCTTCCTATTTCATATCCCCATATCTTTGAAAATTAATTCTGTGGTAAATCTGCCTTAAGAGAATTGGTAGGGGAGGTACGTATCGGTGAGGAGAATCACTGTGGCTTATTTCTGAGACTTAATTTCAGTTATCTGTTCACAGATTTTATTCTTGAGCTTGCATTCTTTTCTTTTTCTTTTTTTCTGATATGAAGTCTTGCACTGTCACCCAGGCTTGAGTGCAGTGGCATGATTTTGGGTTACTGCAACCTCCACCTCCCAGGTTCAAGCGATTCTCCTGCCCCAGCCTCCAGGTTAGCTGGGATTACAGGTGTGCGCCACCACACCCAGCTAATTTTTGTATTTTTAGTAGAGACAGGGCTTTGCCATGTTGGCCAGGCTGCTCTCGATCTCCTGACCTCGGGTGACCCACCCACGTCAGCCTCCCCAAGTTCTGTGATTACAGGCATGAGCCACTGTGCTCAGCCCATTCCTGAGCTTTCTGTTTGCCCATTTTCAATAAATCCACTTGAAACGCCATCATTTTATATTAGTCACACTGTTTAATATCCATATGCCTTAAAGGGCATGCACTTGGCTTTTTTCCCTCCTGTGTGCTGAATTAAATGACTGTGTGACGTTAGTGTTCTTTTATTCAGTAACAGAAAAATAAAAACCATTATATTTTTTTCTTTTTTTCCCCATATATATTCTGCTTATGTAAAAACCGATTACATTTTATTTCCCTCTTAAAGTCTGAACAGAAAGCAGACATTGTCATATAGTGCATTTGGGGCTTGAGAGAAAATGTTGAGGAGTAGCTTCATAAAGAATTAGCTACTTAATGGCTAGACCAGGAGATAATTAGGTTTTCTCTGAAAAGTGGCCATGAGCTTGCATTTACATTTTCATATCTATATGTGCCACTTTGACAATGGAAATTTGAGTTGCCAGGCATTTTTAAAAATAGTCTTTTAAAAGTAAAACCATGTAAATTCTTTTTCTTTCCGTAGATGGGAACATTGTCTGCGTGCAGTCTAATCATCTGAAAAACATCCCTGAGAAACACAGTCAAGTGGCACAGGTAAAAAGGAACAAAGGCTGGTTGAGGATGACCTGGGGCATTGTAGTCTACAACAGCAGCATCCCTGACATTTTGATAATACAGCCAATTTTAGTGCTGGAGGGAAGGAGGGGCTCTGTACCGAAAGCATACCTCCTAACTATGGAGAGAATATTGTTAGTTTTTCATTTCAGGGAGAGTGGAGGGGGAACAGAGAATTGTGTCCATTATTGTAAATGTCAGGCATCCAAGGACTTTTTCATGGTAGGGACGTATTCGGAAGAAGTGCTGATGAGGACACTATAGCAACTATCATTCATGTGTCTGAAATATTTGGAAGGCCAATGTTTTCAGCAGAACAGAATTGAGGAATATGGGATGTAGAAGTGGTGATAAGATTGTACATCATGAGCTTGGGCTCTGAGACATTTCTTTCTTTT